GTTTGTGTGTGTGTGAGTTTGTGTGTGTGAGTTTGTGTGTGTGTTGAGTTTGTGTGTGTGTGAGTTTGTGAGTTTGTGTGTGTTGAGTTTGTGTGTGTGTTGAGTTTGTGTGTGAGAGTTTGTGTGTGTGTTGAGTTTGTGTGTGTGAGTTTGTGAGAGTTTGTGTGTGTGTTGAGTTTGTGTTGTTGAGTTTGTTTGTGAGAGTTTGTGTGTGTTGAGTTTGTGTTGTTGAGTTTGTGTGTGAGTTTGTGTGCGTGTGAGTTTGTGTGTGTGAGTTTGTGTGTGTGTTGAGTTTGTGTGTGTGTTGAGTTTGTGTTGTTGAGTTTGTGTGGGTTTGGGGAGCGGTAGTGTAGCGGTTAGCGCGCTGCGCTACAAACTCGGCGACCCGATTTCTATTCTCGTTCACGGGCAACACCAGTGATGATTATCTGAACCGGTCCTGGGCCTCCCCTAGGTCGACTCCGCCTCAAATGAATACCTGGTGCGGTGCGTAAACACATCGCCACTAGGGAGACAAAGGCGGCCGGGCGTGGTGCTGGCAAAACCCACCCCATCGTGTGCCGTTCTGGCCTTCATAGGTGCTCGCTAACAGCACTTGCCCCGACAGTCTGTGAAGGTTACACGGGGGATCTTTGTCTTTGTGTGTTTGTCTTTACGACAATTGCTTTGCAACTGCACTAAATATATATTTTTTAACTGACAGCAGTCGGTAGCCACAGCTGCACCGTGGGCTCGCTTCTGGGGGGGGGAGGGGAGCGGACCACACTTTTGTCACTCATTTTGATAAAGCTCCTTCAACCAATAATTGTATCACGCACGCAATTATAAACAAAAAAATCCCGCACAATTGCCAAAGCAAGCAAAGCGAGCACGCCGAGACAGTGACTCAAGTCACATGATACAGAACTCGCCAGGGGCCACAGGCACACTTTGGAAGTTGAGAGTCGTCCTACTCTCTCGTCCCCACCCCCCGCTCCGACTTCATCCTACTTTGCTATAATTATACTAAATCTATCTGCGCAACTGCTGGCTATCGGCTCAGTATTGAGCCGGCTGTATTGTGCGCGAGGGGGTTATTTAAACGTCCCATAATTAATCGGTGCACTCTTTGTTATTGTCACCGTGTGGAACGGAGGAAAAACTGCAGACTCAAAAAATAGCTCGATTTTTAAAAATCCAAATTGTTGTGGCTGTCTCTCCAAGGGCCACGTCTATGGAGTGGTCATGACTTTGCCCAATCCTCACAGAGGATCCAATCCCAAACATGTTGGGGGTACATATTCTTTGGTTCTTTCGGTAAAGTCACGTAGATAGAAAAAAATAATAAAAAGCGGTCGCCAGTGTTGCGATCGAAACGTCGTGATATTTTTTTTTTAAATTAACTTTATTTTGTATTATTTTGTTCTATCTATCTACGTGACTTTACCGAAATAACCCGTAGAATATGAATTCCTGCAGTCACGAAAGTTTTTAAGTCAAACATGTTGGGGGTAATCCCGACCCCGACGACGCCCCCCCCCCCCCAAACAATGGCGCCTTCGCCCCTGGTGGCACGCGCAGAGAGTCCGTGTGAGGCATCGTGTGCCTGCACGTCACCTCACACCACTCCAGTCACCGTGCACCCATAACTCAAGACGCTTGCATATACACACGGATTTTCTCACTTTCAATGTCTTGCACATTGAGCGTTAGTTAAGGTGCCAGTGTATTTCATTTTGCTATTGATGCCCCCAGGGTCTGGAATGCTATTGCCAATAAACTGCAACTTGAATCGCTACCAATGAGATCTTCTCTCAACACTGCTCTAGAGGAGTTGTACACCCCTAGCTGCCACTGCTATTCATTGGCGTAAGATAAAATAAAATGTTTTCGCTCCGGATGACGCCGCAAAGTATTATCTGTATTTTGATTTAGCGTGCTGATCTTAAAGGTGCATTGAAAAATTTGATACTCCGACCGATGCTTCTGTTGTTGTGGAGTAAGTCATGCAGCCAGCTATGGCTCTAGGATTTGGTGTTACATGTTATTTATGTAATTTATTGTAAAAATTTGGTCACAGTCCTTGTGCTCACTGTTACGTTGCAATTATGGCTTCATTTTTTGGTGATTTGGAAAAGTTTTTTTGGTTTGGACATGTTTGTTTTGTTGTAGCACGGAGTTAGACTGATGGCCTTAATCTAAGTTTTTGCTGTTGTTGTTTGACTTGCATCCCACTGGGATTTTTGCACACAGCGTTGGTGTACGGTGCTTTTTTCAGGAATATTTTTGCAGTTTTTTTCCATGGATTTTCTGTTTGCACAGTCACATAGTCACTTTAAGATGTTTTTCTTGTTCGTGTTTTTGTTTTTTTTGTTTGTTGTGGTTGCACCCGATTCAAGAGTCGAATGGCTCACAGGGCTATACCAAAATAAACTGAATTGAACTGATTTACGATCAAGTCTACATCATAGTTAGGTCGCTTTGTTTTTAACCTTTGGCAGGGGCACGCATGTGTAGGTACGCATGTGCAGTGAAATTCCCAATGCATCCAAATGCAGGACCATCCGACAAAAAAGTGTTGAATCTAAGCGAGGCTTTTTCCTGCATAAGGGACATTGTCATAACGGATACATGTGACTTGGTAATACCATTCCAGAATGACACTCCAACAGCCAGAGCAAACCAATTTTTGGGGTTCATATACCCCGATATCGTTCACACTTACCGGTATATTCCTACAAGAAAATCCGGTTATAACAGTAGAAAAGTATCTTCATTTGTTTCATTAAATGCCATTTTTATTCCCTTGATTCAAATTAAACTTTAGTTATCGATCTATAGAAAATTATGAGTGTAATTATAACTGCCATGACAGGAAAACTTGAATCACGTGACAGCAGAATGCAACCTGATTTAGCTGATTGTGAGCACTCTCAGATTTGTCTTGCTGTGGTGTATTTACTGTTCATCAAAGCTCTCACCCAAACAAGCTGTGGGTGCATTTATATTTTAGGCACTGCACCAAGAACACATTTTCAGAGTAACAACGTCGTACGGACAATCGTGATAGTCTGACGCTGGAAATCTTAACGTGATTCGGCTGAGTTGTATTCAGGCACGGTTCGACAAAAGAAAGCTACGAAATTCTGATGCATTGCTTATTATTAATATTATTCTCATGGCACAGAGTGTCAGGCGTTTCAGTACAAGAATAAACAGATTAAACATGTGCGGTCAGCAGAAAAGAATGGGCCAAATCCTGGTGTTGTATGATAAAGCCCTTTCTGAGTTATAACTTGCAAAAAGATGGCCGTTATAGTATATTCTGCATGTGGACCGTGTAACCCACACAGCATTTGGTTTCTCTTAGTGCAACGTGAAGGTCCTTGCAGAATGACCCGCTATATCGGCTCGCAGGGCAGGGATATAGACGTGGGTTCGATCCCAATCCTGACGCTTGTATATTTGGAGTTTGCGTGTCTCTCTCCTCGTGGTCGCGTGGATTTTTCTCCAGGTCCTCCGGATTTTCCCCTCCACAATTTAGAATCAACGTGCGTTTAGACTATTTGGCTGCTATAAATGTCCACGTGATGATGAGCCACTTCTTTGAGCTATCATTTGTGATGGCCAGGTCGCTTCTGCAAAAGAGCTACGTAGCTCAGTGGGCCTTACCTGATAAAATAACAACTACGTTTAGTTCAAAAATATGCGGCGATAGGGTCACGGAGAAGGCTGTGATGCACCAGTTTGGCCAGAGAGGGACGCGAGAATGGCTGGAGTTTGCGAGAGTCAAATCAAACAGATTCCAGCAGGGAGGGGTTGGGTTGGGGGGCTATTTTGGTTGTAGTTTCATTGAACTATTGTTTTGATCAATTGCCAGCGGAAGGGGGGGGGGCGTCACTGCCTCTGTATTCGTGGCGATATTGTATGGCGTTTTACACCTCGTGCGAGGCAGGTGAAATTTTTTTTTATCAAGTTTGCCGTCATGATTTATCCCCGCCACAACTTATGGACTGTTTTTTGGTATCGCGATTCAATAATTATCGTCTCATTTGTACTCTCTCGTAAACATGCCCCATCATCTCGTCTGCGCCTTGCACATTTTCATAAAGCCTGCGCGTGACATTTGCATATTCTTTGCATAAACTGGAAACGACCGGGCTCCTCATTGTCGCAACGATTTCATTGCGGGCACTGAGAGGGCGAGAGGGGATCCTCACCGCCGAGTCGCTTAAGCGTTTGCATCTGCGTCGACTGCCGATCTCAAACTCCCCCTACCTCCCCCCCCCCCAAAAAAAAAAATGTAGTGTCGGAGCAATTCCCTTCCCAGCGAACGTGCGACACTTGAGAACATTGCACCTAAGGCATATGATGCGAGTTGCAGAACAAACGACGACGAACTCGAGCTGAGCAGCACACACACACGTGGACAGGCACCGGATGACGTTACAGACCGTGGAATGCGTAAGGTTGTGCTGCAAAGCGCTCTCTTGATGTCTTTCAGGTTGTAGGCGCATTGGGGGCGACACGGTGGCGATATGTTAACTACCTGCCGAGGTACACAGAAGGTCGTGGGTTCGATCCCGACCCTGACGCCTGCTGAAAATTTTGGAGTTTGCGTGTCTCTCTCCCCATGGTCGCGTGGATTTTTCTCCGGGTCCTCCGGTTTTTCCCTCCACATTTAAAATCAACACGCGTTTAGAGTATTTGGCTGCTATAAATATTCACATGATAAGCCACTTCTTTGAACGATCATTCGTGGCCAGGTCGCTTTTAAAAAAGAGCTCAGTGGGCTTTAAGCTATAAATAATTTTTCATTTTACCAGGTAACATTTAACCAGGTAAAATGTTTTACCAGGTAACATTTTAACCAGGTAATTTTTTTGACCAGATAACATTTTAACCAGGTAAAATTTTTACCAGGTAACATTTTAGCCAGGTAGAAATTTGACCTGGTAAAATTAAAAAGTTACATTTTGGTTTTGGCATCATGTCCAACATTTCATTCCACTTCTTTACAGAAGCTCCCCGGCAACGTGGAGGGAAACGTCGGACATCAGGGCCGACAACACGTGCCACAACCCGAAACACGCGTCGGAGGAGCCGCTACGACCGCTCGTACAGATGAAAAAACTTTACATTTCATCGGTTTCCAAGAAAAACAAAAAAAAACACTCACCCTGCTCGCATGTAGGACAAACAAGCAAAAAAAAATGCAATGAGAAATTGTTTCACGATTTGTGTGCACAACAGTTGTGAATATAGTTCATGCCCCATTTTCAAATCTCGCACACGTGGCAGATGTTGGCTACGTAATGGCCACCTGGCTTCCAGGGGTGGTTTTACCAAAAAAACACACAAAACATAAATAAACATTCGCAAAAAACACTCAATGCCTCATGCTGTATAACACGAGGCGTGTGCGCCCACACGTGCCTTAGGCACAATTTGCTTGTGGCACACACAACGCGTCCTTCTGGAAATATCCATCGGCGATAGAAGCGCCCACACGCGCTCTAAAGTCGAAACAGACCAGGGGCGGAGCCAGGGGGGGGGGGGGGGTGACAGGGGTGACATTCTGCGTGTAAGTGTACGACACTCGGTCTGGCGGACTCCGTGCAACTGCACTGTCAGAGTGTGTCGCCAACCGATGGCGTCTGGTTCAACAGCCTGACTCTCTCTAAATCATTCTTGAAATTAAAATTCGTTGAATGTCACCCCGGCCTGAAATCCTGGCTCCGCCCCTGAAACAGACAATACCCATTTAGTTTAACACGTAGGCTTTAAATAATACCCATTTAATTGACAGGTGCATGATTTGTCTCACTACAATACCCACGATACATTGTTGACTCTTACAGATTTTTTTTACAACAAACTAAATTGAACAAAAACAAATCCAAGTGCTGAAATGTACCCTGAATTATCTTCTTTGGTTCTTTCGGTAAAGTCAGAAAGAACCAAAGAAGATGAATCATTGCAGTCACGAAAGCTTTAAATCGAAATGTACCCTGAATTATTCAACATCGTCAGGCGTGTTCTGACGACTGCTGGACGAGGGCCTTCGCAAGCTTGTCGCCAACATCTCCACCATTCTGTGATGTAACAAGACACCTAAGCACCTGCACAGGGAAACGATTTCACCAACCCACACAAACCGGTGTCGTGAAGAATGGAGAAATTGTACCCCCCCCTCCCCTCTATTTAAATGTGTTTTTTTTACCATTCCATTCGTATTTAAATGTCTTTTTTTAGCGAAATGGGTTTGTTCGGAGGAGTGGCGGTTGTGCAGTGGTCCGCGCACTTGGAAAAGTAAGTTGGATTCCAAACGTCAGCGGTGAGATTTATCCGAATCGATCTTTCCCCACCACCAGCTGCCTCTTGAACCAACCCATAAATTGTGAAGTGTGTTAATATTTGTTCTTTACGCAATACTTCTGCCCGGACCTCTGACGCGTTCTGTTCTATTCTGTTGCCCGTTTCTCCGTACGGATCGCTTTGACGTCGTTGCTCTGTGCAGGTCTCCCTTGCAAAATAGCTGGGTAACTGCCTAAACGGGACTTTACGTGTGACAACTAAAACATTGATTGAGCCCACCCTGACCAGCACGGTGAAGTATAATCAAATGAGCACCAATCACGACACGGCTTGAGAAGGCCTTCACCCACCAGTGAATTGACAAGGGGCTGTAAATATCATTGTCAGAATTGTCCACACACCTAGACGCAAGGCACCTTTGTCCGAATCGTTTTCTGCACACTGTCCAAGGGTGATACAGCGAAAACAACGCACGTGTTGGAACAACATCCACCAAGAGCTAAACCAGCTTCCGCATGGAACTGTCCAGTGCTTTGGAATGTCCAGCGTCTCGCGCGTATCAGAAAAAAACTATCATATTCGAGGCCGCATCACATCGGGCACAGAAAACAACAACAACACAAGTCCAAGGAGAAACTCTCGCACGAGGCCCTCCATGGTGCCAACAAGACGAGACGCACACACGGCGGTTTGACGGCGACAAAAAAACAACGCTGCTCCATCACGCTCGCAGTTCTCAAACAAAACAACAGAATTCACGGGGCTCATCGTGCGTTGGTGGAAAGGCAGTTGCTGGTAATATTTGTGGGGGGGGGGGGGGGGCGATTTGGCCGTGTTAGTGAGCGTTTCTTTTGCAAAAAAAAAACCGTGAAAAATACCATTGTTGTTGTACTATCACTTCTGTTGTAATCTCTAAGCACACCGATTCAAAATGATTTAATATTTACTGCCAATAAGTGAAAGATGTGGGTTTTAAAACACGACTGATCATAGAACTAAAACGTCACCCAATTTCTCTTTCATGTTTTCACGTTTGTATTGCTTGTATTGTTATACAACTACATCATTGCAGTTGCTACTGTTGGGAGTTTTATTGTCAAGCCGGTCCTTCTGAGACTCACTCAGACGGCGAAACACCACGTCGGAGATGACACAGGTCAAGAGATCTACTTCTGGAGTCTCCACAATAAAGGCCTCTCTCATACAACACCAGATGGAGCTCCCTAATACTCTTAAGGTCTCGCTCATTACACGCAAAGCGCCTGCCACAAATGAACCACGATACCTTGATGGTCTCGTCAAGGAGCATGAACCATCGTGGAAACCCCGGTCACCCTCGCAGCGGCGGCTTTTGGCTCAACATCCAAAGACGGCCGTTGCATCGCGCACTTTCGGATGTACTCCTGCGGCCGTCTGGAACGTTCTTCCTTCTGATGGTAGGAAGCCACTTGTAGCAATGCACTTTTAAATCTAGATAGAAAACTTTTTTTTAATACCGCTTTTTGTGTTTAGTTTATTGTCCTTCCCCCACACCTCCGATTAGCACGGTTGGCTACGTACAGTGCGAAATAAGTTCAACATGCGTACATAACTCCGTAACAAAGGTAAAGGTGCAGCCCGCCAACTAATCGCTCTTGCCACTGCTGGCAGAAAGGCCTCCACTGGAGAGGGCACTAGAGAGTATTTTTGGCCTACTCTTCCACGCTTGCCAATGTCTTGAAATAAGTAGGACGACCCACACATTACCGCACAGGGCTCTGCACAGTGTTTTTTGCAAGTTCGTATATCTTAGTTTACATACACGGAATATGCCAGATACGGTGAAACCCCAAACTTTATATATTTATTTTACCCTCGCAACAGAGATAAGCACATCAACTCACTACATTTGCAAAACCGGTTTAATCGCAGGTAGCTGCCTGGATTGTAACCCAGGATATCTCAGTGGTTTCGGACTAGTGGCTCCGACATGGACATTGTGAGCCCCCCTCGGGTCACCTGACCGCATCCCTCGCCCTTACACCCCCACAATGCCACCTTCCGCACCGGCTCTCACCAACACAGTCAAATGTCGATGCAACACCGCACAAAACATCGCGAGAGCTCCTTGACGAAGCACCGCACGGAGGGCACGCTGACGTAAACCAGACTGCCTGACCTGTCACGCACCCAAAGAGCATTGTTGCCGAACTTGACGCACGGCGATGACAACGCCACCTTTTTCCCACCGGTCACAAAACGTCCGATAACAATGTCAACATATCTTACTTCAACAAAGTGCACAGTACCTCTTTATCAGCCGCAGTTCGTGACTGATTTAATCGGTGGGCTGCTGATCTTTTTTTTTGTTACACCCATTTACCACTTTTGGACTTTTAACAACGAAAATGACATCGCTTTTGAATATTTTGAGAAGGGGGGGGGGGGGAGTTTGAAAAGTTTACTAGAATTTTTAACACGTAGGATTTCGCGACCAATATAATCCATAATATAGGTTTTTAAAAATATATATATAGAATGTAAATGTTGTGGATTTGCTCTCCAACACACCGGTGTGCTGTACTAGTAACGAATTGACATGTTCTGTTTACGTGACAAACCTTACTAGTTGGCTGTGTCAGGTGGTGGCGGGTTTAACGACACATTTATATTTACGCGATCTAACCCAAAAAACCTATATAATGCATTTATTTCGAATACCGGTAACGCTAAAAGTAAAAGGGTTTGAAGAGTGGCAACCTCTCGCTTACATCCGTAGCGTTGGCGAGTGCGTTTCTCTTAACTTAAACAATGTCAACAATCACCTGGTCTTGAAATTTTGGGAAACACTAGTGTTGTTGATAAATGCACACGTGATTATTATAATTTTACAGAATGATTTCATGCCGACACGTAGGGAACACAGCCCCAAAGCCGACAAGCCACATTTCGGTGAGCAGTATAGACAGAGTTCTTGCCAAAAATGAACCACAATACCTTGATGATCTCGTCAAAGACCACCAACCATCACGCGAACTCTGGCCATCATCGCAGCGGCTTTTGGGCTAACCATCGAAAAGAGACGGTCACCGCATCGCGCGCTTTCAGATGCGCTTCTGCGGCCGTCTGGAACGCTCTTCCTTCCGACGTTAAGAAGCAACTGGAGCTATACACTTTTAAATCTAGATTTAAAATACATTTCTTTAGAACTGCTTGTTGTTGCGTCTCGTTTAGTTGTCCTTCCCCCCGTACCTCCGATTAGCATGGGTGGCTACGTACGGTGCGAACGAAGTCCGACGTACACACACATAGACATGAGGGGGCAGGTGCTGTTTGCGAGCGTCTATTAAGGCTGGCATGGCACACGAAGCGGCGGTGGGCTGGGCATTTAACATCCTCAGCAGCCTTTGTCTCTCTGCTACTGTAACTGATACCCATTTTAGGCCGAGTTCACCTAGGGGAGGGGAGGGGGTGGAGTGGCGGTGCAGTGTTTACCGCACTGCACTGCGAACTTGAATTTTAATGCCGGCCTCTGCCAACATCAGTGGCGAGTGACATAGGAACCGGTCCTACCGCCCTTCCCACCTCACCAAGCCCGCCCTGACGTGGACATTCATTGCAGCCAAATACTCTAAACGCGTGATGTCGATTCTAAATGTGGAGGGAAAAACCGGAGCAGGCTGAGAAAAAAAATATATACGTGACCACGGGGGGAGAGAGGCACGCAAACTCCAAATATACAGCAGGCGTCAGGGTCGAACCCCACGACCTCCTGTATACCTGGTGAAGTAGGTAACATCTCACCACCATGGCATCTTCAGCTCTGAATGTTGGGGAGCTGGAGGGGGCTGGAGGGGACTGAGCACCCGACCGCCACTTCCGCCACTGAAGACTCAACCACCGCCCTTAAACTTGTTACAGTCAATAAAGTTGGCATAGCCTTTCCCTCACATACAAGCGTTCAGAGGCTGGAGTGGAAAAAAAACCCCAGATCATATCGTTCTTCATTCCGTGTAATCATTTGAGGTTTGTTTAACATGGACTGTGTCGTGCGGCCCCCCCTCCGCTCCGCCGAATGTTTGTATGCTGCCCACCCCCCGCCACCCAGGTGACGCTCGGGACAGAGTTGCACACTCTACAACTCTTAGCCGACAGAACCCAAATGAGGATTTCGAGCCACTCCTGTACACACACGAAGCGCAACAACACTGCCGACATGAATGATTTGAGATTCGTGAGAGAGAAAGAAAAAAAAATCCCAAACTATTACACCGGAGTAAAACTTGGCACCGAAACAAACTGTAATAATAATAATGATGAAAATAAAACTATGAGAAAAGTGAGCAGGAACTGGGCAGGCAACCGATGAACCGAGTAAACACTACGCAACAAAGAGGCGATCAAAACTCAGTGGTGGCACATAAAAGAGAGCCAGTGACCTACGTGAATCTCTGAATCTACCGACATAAGTCCACGTGAAGTGCCCTGCACTCGCGGTCCAAGCCTTCGATCCCTGCCCGAGATAATCCTCTACCTCGTTCTTCGAAAGTCCTCGTTCGATCGTCGCTGGACTATTTGCTCGCCTCCATCACGAAGGTGATTCTTTAACTGTGGAAACATGCTCAAGTCACTGGCAGCCAGGTCTGACGAGTGTGGGTTTTATCCAGATTTCTCTGGATTATCCTCCAGTGCTTCCATTCTCTCTCTGGTTTTTGTTTTGTTCTCTCTCCTGACGTCTTCCCTTTGCAGTAAACGCTCAGGGATAATGATTTCAAACGCCTGTAAAAAGTGGACCTATTATTTATTCTAATGCTATTACTTTTTTACGACCCGCCCCCCCCCCCTAAAAGTAATGCACCGTCAAACTAAAACATTAAACAAACTCGCCCTTCGCTGCGGTACCAACTCGTATTTTTATGGTCAGGCCACAGACACCTTTTAATTCTGTTCGTGCCTCCGGATAATCGGGGAGGACACGGCCCTTTACCGCGACCGCAAACAGCCCGATGCACACTGCCGCCGCCTTCCAGCGTGGATGTCGGCGAACCGGCGACTCGATTCCTCACGCGGTAGCTCGCCCTCGACTGTACGCAGCGCTGCGGTTGGGTCGCCCGCTTGCAACAAACCACCGGTTAACTACTGACGGCTTGTGTAGCAATGCAAAAGCCGCTGGCACGCACACAGCAACGTAACTGTGTGCTGTAAAGGTATATTGCATACTAAACTCATTCTAAGCATTGCTGTGGAACATTACGGGCGCAAAAAAAGCAACCAACATGCAGAACTCAGTTGCGTGTTGTCACACGCAAATAGAGATATATTTTTTTTACTTGATTTGAAGCTTTGTTTTTGATTCGAAGAGATATTTGATTAAGTCCGTGGGACCATTGGATTTTTAAACCAATGTTATCCAGTATGCATTTTGAGAGCTTCAACAAATGCTGCTGGAAAGCATTGGTATTTTTTTTCATGAATATGTGAAGACTGAACAGAGTTCTACTATATGTCAAGGAATGCGGGTGGAATTAACCAAGCGAATGCAACGTCAAAAGGTCATCGTGAAGACGCGTGTGCTAGGAGATGGGAAATTGTGGAATGTGGGCATGCAATTTAAACTCCTCCGTTTGCATTTGTGTATTTAACCCTTTCCCATTCTGATGACATACGTCAAAGTTATTCTATTTTAGTTTCATTCTGATGACGTATAGAATAACTTTATCGGTACCGAGGCTCCCACAAGGCCATGCGGGAGGGCGTGTGGCACAGTTTGGCGCCAGCTATCACAGAATGCGGCCGTGTCGCGATGGTTCTCTGAAGTGAGTACGTCTTAAAAACCAGCGGCGCTACGCCTCCCTAATTCAAACGGTGAACCGCTTGCGAGTTCCGAGATTCAGCGGTGAATGGGACACGAACCTGAAACTTGCAGACGTCTCGGAACGGGAAAGGGTTCATAAATGCGTATGGTCCCAGCGGTACATACGATACGATAAAGGCAAACTTTAAAATGAAATATTTTATTTGTTTTATTTCTCAACAGTCAACAAGAGATGAACACAGAGTTTGTGTAGAAAATATGTAACCTTTTCTTTTTTTGGGATCGTTGCTTTGAGTGACCTGTTAGGTGACGTGAAACAGATTATTTAAATAAAGTTGGCACATTATTTAACTGGATTTACACGAAGAGTTTTCACCGATTTTTTTTTTTAACGACGAACATGACGAATAAAACTGGGCGTAACTGTGGGACACATTCAAATGAACATAAATAAATAAATAGGCATTCGACGATTTACTTTGCAGTTTGCATATGTCAAAACTATTAGGTGACCTCGTGTAAATGTGCAAACAAAAATGTGAGCATGGGCTGGTAAAAGATGTATTTTTGCGAGTTGCGAGCAACCCCTTGAATAATGTACCCATTTTCTCCCAGTTTATAAGATCATCTAATGACTCTTGCACTATGAAATATTCCAGTGTGATTCATGTATTGCTGTTACAATGGCTGGCCTATAATTACCAATAAATACTTTACTTTGCATGGATTTCTAATGATCTAGGCACGGAAGATGGTAAAGTCTCAGTGTAAATGGTAAGTCCCCTTGGGCTGAGGTTGTAATATTAACCATGTTTGGTTAGCAACTAGTCAGCATGTGCTGTGGAAACATTAATAATGTCCACAGGAGAAGAAGCAACTTTGGTTTAATGCCACATCACTGTCCAGACAACATCTCTTACGATCCAATAATGATGCTTCGCCTGCAACTTAATGACCTACAGCAAAATAAACAGAAACAGATTTCTGCCAAGGAGTCACCCAGGCAGTTACATATCTGGACAAATCAATGATTATCACGCAAAGTCTAACGAAATCAACTCTCGAGGTTGAACAGCTGCCAATCACTGTAAAGACTTCTCACAGATTTTGTTCTGCACAATGCCTGCACGCTTGACACATCGTAACGTTGTAAACCACGCCTTCGCATTGTTGCATTTCAAATTCAATGAGTTCAAAATGAATGCAAACACGAACCCAGGAATCGCACTGCATAAACCCTTTTATGTTCGAGTGTTTATTTTTTTTTTTAAACCCGTTAACATTTCATAATTCTCTACAGCGCTGCAGTTATTTCATACAGTATATGAAATGATTCGCAAAGAAGGAAACAATTCTGCCGCTTATTGCAAAACTCCCCTTGTTTAGTGCCGATCATGGCAAACATTAAATAAGTGCACTTCTTCACGAAGCAGAGTAAAACCGAGAGGAAAAGGCGCCAGATTTCTCGCGTTTACATGTAAACTGCGTTGCCGTTTCTTGGGTGTAAATACATTTGCAGGTGCAAAGGAAAACTAAAAAAAAATGGGAAAATACCGCACGCAAACATTTTAACACACGCTCACGGTAATGTGCCCTTTCTTTACGAGTTACATCATTGCACGTGGTCCTGCGTGTCATTTCAGAGATGAGAAAGATTATTGTTTTTTTTTTCCATCTCGCACGGAAACAAATCTCGAACGAGTAAATAACTAACAAAAAATAACTCAATGATTTACGTTGTCGAGTTTCTGTTGCGTCTGCGCAAACGGAAACCCACCGTTCCTTCGCGGCCAACAATTATAGCAATAAATAAAAAAAATAAAAAGTGAAAGTGTCCCTCTGGTAAAACGAGCACTGGGCGGTGTGCATCTCTCTGCTTGGCTGTGTGGGCCCACCATCGGCCATTCCACACTCCCGTGACCCGGGATGGACGATGCTGGGCCGAGTGACATAGAAACCCGCAGCCTCCGCTTCTCCCCAACTCCTCTTGCAGCGCTCGAACCGCAGCTTCGCTGGGTCAGGCCGCAAGTCAAATAACAAAAAAAAAAACAACCGCACCGGTGTAAACGAGCGCTCACAGCAAATGTCGGATGTGTTCAAGGTCCGCCTTGGTGAAGATGACGCGCGTACCCAGGTAGAGCGAAGCGAGTCCCAGGACGGCGGCGCACACGACGTACGCCTGGACGGAGCCGCACGTCTCCACGATGGCGCCCATGCACAGGGAGGGCACCACCTGCGACAGGAATAGCATGCTGTCCAGGATGGCCATGTCCATGCAGATGCCGCGCCTGCCGTGGTCCGTCGCGTGCTGGGAGGCGGGCGGCTGCTGCTGCTGCTGCGGCTGCTGCTGCTGCTGCTGCGGCGTCGTCCTCGCGCTCGGCCGATCGGCGAGGACGGGGCCCCCGTTGTGGGACTTGTGGGCGTGCGCGCTCAGTGCCGTCGACTCCCGCCCGTGGGGTTTCTCAGAGCGCTGGGCGTCCGCGTCGCTCTTCGCCTTGTGGAACATGAAGGCCTGGGCGGGCACAGCGGAACCGAGTCAGTCTCCCGACTCGTTTTCGGGCCGTCGATGTCCAACGTTGCGCTCCACGCGCTGGGAGTTTTATTTTTTTAGGAACAGCATCGCCACGCGGAGGGAAACTTCGGACGTTGTGCCGAACAACAGCATGGGTTGTCATGGTGGCAAGATGTTAACTACCTCGCCTGGTGGTGTACAGAAGGTCGTGGGTTCAATCCAGACCGTGACATCTGTATATTTGGAGTTTGCATGGTCGCATGGAATTTTCTCCGGGAGTGTGTGGTTTGTCCCTCCACAATGAGAATCAACATGTGTTCAGAGTATTTGGCTGCTATAAATGTCCGCACGATAAGCCACTTCGTCGAGCTATATCATTTGTGGCCAGGTTTGGCTTTGAAAAATTGATGTATAGATCAGTGGGCCTTACCTGTTAAAATAAACATCTTTTAAGCAGTTTACAACACTCGTCAGGTCTCGGAACGAAGCCGGATTGAGCCTGGTCAGTTCTTGGTTGGGATAATTCAATTTCTGAAGAAACTCCTACCAATGAGCGGCGAGTCCAGGTACTCCCACATTTATTCCCACATGCTTGACGCTCATTGATGGAATACACCAAAACGTCCCAATGCAGGACCCACGGTGAGACTTTTATGGGTCGATAAAAATCACTGGTACTGTTTCATGCAATCGCTAATGTCAGTTTAACATGTAAGCTTTCGTGACAAATATCCACAACTAGCATCATCAGGCGCACAGCCGGCTGTCCACCTGATGAGGCTGGTTGTAATTACTGGCGAAACGTCGTACTCGAATTGTAGATGTTGTGCGTTTTACGCTCCAAAACAGCGGTGTGCTGAACTAAAAACGAAGTGGCATGTTTTGTGTACGTGACAAACTTTACTAATTGGCTACACCGTGTGGTGGCGGGTTTAACGACACATTTATATATTTACACGACCTGACCCAAAAACTTATATTAAGGATAATGGCTACTGTTTAGCATTAATTAGGCCCCAAGGTTTTTGTGGAGTGCTCTTTGCGACAATAGCAGGAAACCCTGCAGCATTTTTTTTGACGTGCTCAGACTCGCCGGGTCAGGGTTTGCTGCTGAAACAAATGTTCCAGGAAAATATTGAGCCCAGGAGGCCGATTGGTTGATGGATTCGAATTCGAATTTCATTTTTATTTACTGACAACATTTGGTACCTGCATACAAAGGCAAAGATCCCCCGTATAGCCTGTAATAGACTGTTGGGGCAAGTGTTGTTAGCGAGCACCTATGAAGGCCGGCACGGCACACGAGGGGGTGGGCGGCCAACACCACGCCCGGCCGCCTTTGTCTCCCTAGTGGCAATGCTCACACACCGCACCAGGTACTCATTTGAGGCTGAGTCGACTTAGAGGAGGCCCAGGTCCGGTTCAGATAATCATCACCGGTGTTGGCCGTGAGCGGGAATCGAACTCGGGTCGCCAGGTTCGTAGCGCGGTGCGCTAACCGCTACACCACCGCTCCCAACAAACAGGTGCACACACGTTTGGCATGCCACGATTCACCTCCGCGGTAACGCGACGAACTTTCACAATTTTAGTCATCCATTCGTTTATGTATTATTATTTTTTATCTCGTTCTCACAGCTTTGCTCAACTACTCGTCTAAAAACAACCACGAGCATATCCATTCGTGTGTGCGATTCATTGACATTCTCAACTTCGACGAGCAGCCAAAGTAAACAATGCACGATGTCACGCGGCCAGGATCAGAACCTTTCTTTTATCCTGGCGAAATCCGACGAGCTATTAAGCTCTTTTCCACAGATGTCTGTGTGTTGTGTATTACTGGCCAAGATTAGTTAGAGAGTCAATTGAAATTGAGAATAATTCAAATACTCTAATTTTAATCACTGTGATAGCTATAGACTCAGCGCAGCCTGGAAGCGTATTGCAATGCCTTACAGGTGAGTCACATGCTAAGTGGCTGATTACTGATCCCCCACCTCCGCCTCTGATCGCGAATCCTGATGGAGTTCAACAATGATGGCGTCATCCTGCACTATTTAAGACCGGAAGCAGGTGGATGGCTTCACTGGTCTGGCAAATCGGCCGAAGATGCTGGATGTAATTTCCAGCGAAACGTCGTACTCAAATTCTAAATGTTGCGGATACATTCTTCAACACACCAGTGAGCTAAAGTAGTGAACTATTTGTATTTTGCAAACGTGACACATTTTTTTACTGATTGGCCGTGTCGGGTGGTGGAGGGTTGTGACACATTTATAAATAACGCGATCTAACCCAAAAACCTTTATTATGACCAGTGATGATTTTCAGAACCGGTCCTGAGCCTCCCCTAGGTCGACTCAGCCTCAAATGAGTACCTGGTACGTTATGTTAAGCATCGCCACGAGGGAGACAAAGGCGGCCGGGGCGTGGTGCTGGCCACCCACCCCATCGTGGCTGTTCCGACCTTCATAGGCGCTACTCGCTAACGTCACTTGCCCCGACAGTCTTTTAAAGGCTACATGGGGGACCTTTATCTTTGTGTAATTCATGCCGTGTATAGTAATGGTGTGTGTATTATGTGTGTGTAACGCATGGTGTCTACAACGGCGCGTGAGTCGTGTCATATACATGTGACCACACCGTTGCTTCACGTGACCACACTTGGCCACGTTGTTGAGTGAGTGGTAGACTCGATCCAGTTCACGTATCGTACCGGGGGGGGGGGGGGGGGGGATCGTTGTCTTTGTGGGGGGGGGGCGGGGGGGGGGTTAGTGAGGGTGCAGAGCTACCGACCTCCCGCTCCTGGTGGTAGAGGGCGGTGAGCGTGTAGGGCAGCGTGTGCAGCATGGAGCATCCAAAGCCCGTGAGCGCCGTCATGGCGGTGACGAGCGCCACGCTGTCCGACAGGCACATGACGAGCATGGCGAGCGTGAAGGAGCCCATGCTGGCCAGGTAGACCCCGCGGCCGCCCAGCGAAGTCACCAGGCGGTCCATGCCCACCGAGCACACGGTCGACATGCAGCACTGCAGGAAGAGGCCCCAGCTGCCCATGCGCACCCCTGGCGGAGGCGGCGGCAGCCCGTGGTTAAGGTCCGATCGAAGGCGTTTGGGCGCAACAGCAGAGCAAGCGTGGGGGTTAATGCTCACCTGCAGCAGCAGCAGCAGCCTTAGCAGCTAAAACATCAGCAGTATCAGCAGCGGCAGCAACAACAACAGCAGCAGCAGCAATTACGGTTGATCAGCAAAGCATGTGATTAAAGTTCGACTGCAGCAGCAGCAGCAGTAGCAGCTAAAACAGCAGCAGCTACAGTTGATCAACGGCGCTCGGCACAATAACGGCACGGAAGCAGCCAAAGTAGCATTAGCAATAGCATCTTCATCAGCAGCAACAACAACAGCAGCAGCAGCAGCGGTAGCGGCATTACAAGCAGGCGACAACAGCATCAGTATCGGCAGCAATCTCAGCCAAAACAACGGTGGCCCAGCCCAAAATTCAAAAACGGGTCATCGCGACATTGGCGACGAAGAGCCGGGGCTTTGTGGGCGTTTTGTCGCGGCACCTTCGTCGTAGAGCAGGCGTCCCGGGGAGCCGGCCTCGGCGTTGGGAACTCCGCCGTAGAGGCCCTCGCCCATGAAGTCCGTGTAGAAGAGCATGAAGGTCATGATGGACATCCACGAGGACAGCTGCGCGAAGCACAGGCGCAGCAGCACGTGCGGCATCCGCAGGAAGCTGCGGTAGACGTCCGGCACGAGGAACGAGACGATGCCGCCCCGGAGCCACCACGCGGCGCCGCTGTGCTGGGCCGCCCGCCAGCCCGCGCCGGCGCGCTCCGCACACCCCCTGCAGCATCGCGCGCCTCCACTCTGCAAGCGACACGCAGCCCACCACCCATCACCACCACCACCCCCAACATCGCCACCAACATCGCCACCACCACCACCACCCCCCACCACCCCCACCACCCCCACCATCCTCACACCATCATTTTAGTCTCAGGGCCTGGTCTGCTCCTCGGTATGACACGGACTTGTTTTGTGTTGTACTGTGGATGTATTGTGCACTTGTTATTATTGTTAGTGGCTTTTATCGTAGTGTGTTTTCATTTTTAACAATTATATAGCCGGGCGGTGGCGGATTTGCACATGGCCTGTGATCCGGCACTGCGGAGGTGAGGGGATCAAGGTGCCATATGCTGGCTTGCCATCAGAAGGCAGTACAGCAAGTAGGCAGATCGCCATCTGTTTCCATCTGTTGCCCCATTTTTTACGTACAATTGTGATTATATTTTATTTTAATTATCATGGTCGAGTCCACAACACATGCATATGGATGCTGCCATGGGGTGTAATGGTTAGCAGTCGCTGGTTCGATTCCCCGGTGAGGCAGCCCACGCTATAAGTTAGTCTTGACTGGGATTTGAATTCAGGTCACTGGGTTCATAGTGCACTGTGTGAAGCATTAAAGCAGCACCACTCCCGAGAAACAAGAGCCCCCATTCACCACGAAACAGGCCCAGGTGTCATGGGTTAACCGACTTCGAGGACCGCTTTCCACACACAGAGGCCCTCCCTATAGCCCTCACAAATTGTCGGGGCAGTTCGCGAGCACCTATGAAGCCTGGCATGGCGCATGAGGGGGCAGTGCGGACAGAACCATCTCTGCCTGTGTCCGTCTCCACGGTACTGACATATACACATTGCACCATGCACTGATTTCAGGCCGGGTGGACCTAAGCAAAACCAAGGAATCGGTTAAAATATTTGCCACTGATATTAGCCACAGCCAGGAATAGAATTTGGGTCACTCTGTTCTGAGTGCAGTGCACTCAGCACGACCGCTCGCACCGTGAGGAGAAACGTCACTCCCATCGCCCACGAGGCTGTTGGGACAAAGTGCTGTTAGCAAGCGCCTATTAAGCCTGGCATGGTGCACAAGGAGGTGGTGTCACGAGAACCACTCCTGGCCGCCTTTGTCTCCCCAGCACACACCACACCAGGCACATAAACAAAGACAAAGATCCCCCGTATTGCCTTAACAGACTGTTGGGGGCAAGTGCTGTTAGCGAACACCTATATGAAAACCGGCACGGCGTACGAGGTGGTGGGCGGCCAGCACCACGCCCGGCCGCCTTTGTCTCCTTAGTGGCGATGTTTGCACACCGCACCAGGTACTCATTTAAGAGTAAGTCGACCTAGGGGAGGCCGAGGATCGGTTCAAAAAATCGTCACTGGTGTTCGCCGTGAACGGGTTCGTAGCGCAGCGCGCTAACCGCTACGCTACCGCTCTCCCCCCCCTCCCCCACAAAGACAGACAGACAGACGTGTGCCCACGAACGCGCACGCCACCTCACCTGCGTAACTACGACCACCTCCACCACCTCCCTCCTGCCCCCGCCGCCCGACGCCGCCCCGGCCCCAACGGAGCTGGCCAGCGGCACGTCGGAGTGGTGACCCACGGCAGCTCGGCCGTGCGGCACCAACGCCGCCGCCGCAGCCGCCGCCGCCGCCTGCCCTCCCCCGGCCTTCGCGGACGGCGCCGCCAGATCTCGGGCCTGCCACATGGTGACGGCGAGGCTGACGAGGAACACGGCGATGAGGATGGCGAAGAGGCACTGGCCCTGCCCCCCGAGCCGGCGAGCCAGGTCGGTGCCGCTCCAGTCGACGGTGGGCAGGAGGTAGCCCACGCAGCCGCCGGCGCTCGTCATCAAGGAGTACATGGCGTAGGCGTGCACGCAGCGCTCGGGTTCGCGCAGCGTGTCCGCCACCAGCGCCTCGAGGGGCGTGAAGCACGACTGCCCGCAGAAGTCCAGCAGCCCCACGCCCACGATCATCAGGCCGACCTGGGGGCGCGCGGGACACGGTGGGGGGGTGGGCGGCACGACGGGCGATGTAGTGTTGTGGCGCTTCTTGAGTGTGTGGGTGTGCATGGGTACTTTAGTTTGAGAGTGTGTGTGGGTAATGTGGCGTGTGTGTGTGTGTGTGTACGGGTGCTTTAGTGTGTACTCGAATAATTTAACATTGTAGAAGCAATTCATCATTATTTATATCCCTTTGTGCCAAGAGCACTCCTGGGTAAAGGATTCTCCCCAAGCCATATTAGTCACGGGGGTTTGTACATATGTAGAACTTCTTTCGCACCGTACGTAGACCGACTGTGCTAATCGAGTCGCCATAGAAAGAGAGCTTCTTAGCTCAATGGTCCTCACCCAAAATGAACTGACTGATTGATCGTTTCAGATATCACTTGCCAATGATGTTAGTCACAGCTGGGATGAGAATTTAGGTCACTGGATTCATAGTGCATTGCTCAAACTGCTGTGCTGGTGCTGCTGCTGCTGCTGCTGAAACGAGCGTGAACTTTTATTTGGGTAATAAGCGTGACATTAGGGTACTTGGAACTAGTATTCGGGCAGTATAAATAAAGTCAAAGTAGCTTCGTGTTGAATTTAGTTGTGGGAGAACTCTCATCTCCTCTTTACATCCCTGGGGTGGGTGTGCAAAGTCCACATTCCTGTGGCAGGTGCCAGTCTAACAATATAACTGCCACTGTTCGAGTCCTCACAATTTGGTCCTCGTTTTTATCAACGGCTGCGACAACGCCTCGACTGAGATTTGACCTTGTGGGCCTTCGGATCGCGAGTCAAGCTCTCTCCGACCCGCAGCGCCACTCGGCCAGACAGAGCTGTTGAGTGCGCTTCACACCTCGGTCAAAAAGAAACGGCTGAGTACGCTTTGAATGAGTGTAGTCCAGCCGCGCTGAGGTTAAGGAATCCCGGGCAGGGAACGTGCCACGCGATGGTTGTTGCGGATGATTCGTTTGAGGTACAGGACGTGGATTACAGTCTTGAATTATCAACGAACCAGACACATTGCACTTTAAGGGTCGGGAACGTTGGCCTTATTCGTTAATGACGCAAAATATAACAAAGTGCGTGCGTCGACCCACTGTGAAAAGACCCATGGTATGAGGTGACCGAGCGTGGTGGTAACATTAGAAACGCGGCATTGCCAGTTTTTTTTTTATTATTCCCCTCTAGTGCCTGATGAGCACGGCCAAGATGCTTGCAGTGATGGATATATACAGCGTGGCCCAAAAGTCAGGACACGTCGGGTTATTTAATTTATTTTAACACTGGTTTTAAAACATTTCAGTCGTTTATTCTTTAAGTTAATATATTGTTTACGATCATTATTAATATCAGATGACATTTAAAAATGGAAAGGAAATTGACTCAAGACGAACGAAATAAATTAGTTGTTCCGTATGCTAAATAAGGCAGCTGCAATCTTAAAAAAAGTCCTAAATTAATTTCAAACCGCAATTCATGCATCGTGCATTCACGTTAATGGAAAAAAAAAACCAGTTTGAACATTTGCGAAAATAAAGGAAATAACTGTACGTGATTTGTTCAAATATACTAACACTGTGTGTCCTAGCTTTTGGGCCACACCTGTGCAGTATATCTGTAAACACACGATTGTGGGCCATTCTAAAGTGGTGGCCCATGGACCCAGTATGGCCGGGTGGACTGTAGGTTCACAACCCTTGGGCTGTGTGTAAATATGTCTATATATACATATATATGTATATCTATTAAAGTCACCAACTTGTTTGTGTTGTATGTATCTGTGAAAATCTTTGGTACCGTAAGTGGACCAACCGTGCTCATCGGAGGTACGGGGATGAAGGACAACAAACTAAACACAAAAATCCATTCTAAAGAAATGAGTTTTCAATTTAGATTTAAAAGTGCATAGTGCCAGTTCCCGCCACGGACTTTTCCATCGCTCCTCGTTACCGTATTCCCCAGACTATACGACCCGCTATTTGCCCAGTTTTTTAAAGAAAAAAGTGGTTGTACGTCTTATAATCCAGCCGGTGTGCGTTTGTGTAACCATATTTGTACAACTTTATTGATACCCGGGCACTAGTCTGGGGTGCATATTTGCAACATTTGAAAATAACCCGCAAATTACTCAATGGGAATTACACACAGCAGCAATCGCCCCCCACCTCCACCCCCCCCTCTATTGGCAGACTCATGCCCGCTCGCAGGCCAGGCGTAGTCACCTTGTACCCGCTTGCAGGCCAGGCGTAGTCACCTTTTGCCCACAGAGACAGCTGCTACTGAGAGTGTCCTTCCAAACGTTTTAGATGAGACGTAATGGAAAGCGCCTGGAGGCTCCATGGCTCATATAGAAGGGTGCGGTGGCGAGATGTTAACTACCTCGCCTGGTATGCAGGAGGTCGTGGGTTCGATTTCGACCCTAACCGGCTGTAAATTTAGAGTTTGCATGTTCTTCCCGTGGTCTCGTGGATTTTTCCTCTGGTTTTTCCTTTCACATTTAGAAACATGTGTTTAAATTTCCACGTAACAAGCCACTTCGTTGAGCTATCCTTTGGGACCAGGTCGCTTCTAAAAAAAGAGCTATATAGCTCAGTGGGCCTTACCTGGTAAAATAAAAAAATGTTTAGTTTAATCCAGAGACTGCGGTAATGAAATCTGTTACGGTGGTCGTGGGCGGCTGGGTTGCGAGAGTGGACTCTCGCGTGGACGTGCGGATGTGCGGATGTGCGGATGGGCACCTTGAAGGCGTGCTCGCTCTGGAAGTGGTGCGCGATGCTGGCCGAGTAGGAGATGATAAGCAGGCCCAGCACCACGCCCAGGCTCAGCGCCAGGATGAACGGCTTGCGCCGGCCACATCCGCCGCTCCAGTTGTCGCTCGCCGAGCTGATAAACGGCACGAACACAAGGGCCAGAACAGGCCCGATGCCTGCGCGACGGGGGGTGGGGGGGGTGGCAGGGGAACGGTGCGGTGGAGGGGGCAGACGATGTGACGTCGAGAGCTCATTCGCCGGCCAATAATTGCATTCAACCACACGTCGATATGTTTACGTGCACCGAAGTACCTTATACACATTAAAGTACAGCGATGATTACTTGATTACACTAAGACAAGCTAAAGTACTTGAATAATGCTTTTGTAAACGAGTGAAAAATGGAGACGAGTGGAATAGTCATGCAGTGGTTCGTGCGTTGTGCTACGAATCTGACGACCTGAGTTGCATTCCTGGCCACAGCTGACGCCAGTGGTGGATGATGTCTGCATCGGCCTTGGGTGCCTCCCATTACCAACCTGGTTAAACAACGGCCTACGACTGATAAAGAGGGCCCTTTATCTATTATCCGTGATGGTGGCCGCAATAATCTATTACCAGCTACCTATAATAAATGAAAGTGAAACTCTGTCTCTTATCAAACAATCGTAGGTAGTGGCCATCTTCGCTGAGAGCCATGTGACAGTAGCCGGCATTCCACATTCGTATGGAGGGACGGTCCCAATGTAGGGAAACAGTATTTGACTTCCTGCAAAGTGGCATCAAAATGTTCACATCATCCAGACCTAGAGAGATAATGACAACGATGGCAAATAACCCCAATCCCCCTGCCATGGTAACGTAGAATTTCTACGACAGCTAATGGAGATGATTTGAGCAGGCATGAACTTCAGACTTATTTTGTCTGTATATGTTACTATGTGTGCATTGGGTGTTCGCAGCTGTACAATGGAAGTGGGTTATTTTAAAACCATCGACCCCGTAATACAAATGTCTACTCTTTTAAAATATATTTGTCATTTCCACCCTCCCAATTTTATTTAAAGTTTGCGATGACCATCCTGTCGTGAGTGGCAAAATCAATTATCGCTGGGTGTAGCACATTTCTGCACACGCCCTGCAATAGAGAAATATTATGTACGTGGGAATCAAATGGGTTTTTTTAATTGTCAAGTTATTGTCAGCATTTATTGGCAAATAAGCCGAGACCATCAATACTCTAGACTCGAGAAACCCGGTTTAATCATGTGCGGCTGCCCACATTCATGCCCCAGTTTATTAGCTGTCCTGGCTCAGTGCTCTGTGATGGCTCAGTGCTCTGAAGTATCTGCCAATTGGTGCGCCTCTTGCAAATGTCTGCACGTGTGAAAACACATTTGATCGTCGTGTAGTTATGGCAGAATGCCGCGTGAATATGGATTTCCACCACTGGCTCAGGGCCGGCCATGCTCGTCCGTAGTCGTGAGAACCGTGGCGTTGGCGGCCTAGGCCACTCACCAAGCACCATGGTCATGTAGCGCTCCTCCACGCCCGCTTCCAGCAGCAGCGGTGGCACGTAGGTCACTCCAGCCGCCACGCAGATCTCCAGGCCGCACGCCAGCGCGGTGAGCAGCAGCAGGCGGATCTTCTCCATTGCGTTTGTCGTGCGATCGGTCACCCCTCGTTCCGCTTCCATGCGCTATGGGTGCGCGGTGCCGAGAGAAACCTTCCACCGGCGAATCGTGTCGATCGTTACTTTCTACTTTTGTCTCGTGTTGTCAGCTGCCGGGCAAACGGTGCCGCACCTCCGATTAGCGCGGTTGGCTATGTGCGGTGTGAAATAAGTTCAGCGTACGTACGTACGTGCGTGCGCGTTTTGTTGGTATCGAACGTTAATTTGCGTCAAATCGTATCTAAATTTGGACTGTCGTCGGTGATGATTTTTTTATGTTTTGATGATTAAAAATAATGCCAGCAGTGAAGACCAAGACAGAATTGAGCACGTGGATTTTTAGATTGTCAAGCTCAGGCCCTATTTAAATCTAGACTACTTTTTGACATTTTTAAATGTTCCGTCATTTTCCCCAGGACTGAAATTTTTGTTAAATACGCGACTAAGTTTTAACGATTGTGTAGACGGACGCCTCAAAAGGCACTTCCAAGGCAGCCGGACGCAATGAAGATCTCAGTACGTTGCGGCATTGCACTGCACGGAGACGTGCACACAAGCAGTGCATATGGAACGCAAACAAACTTTGTGAAAGACAATAGACCTTGCGCAAAACACTTTACAGGGCAGCAGCAGCAGCAGGCAGCTTCTCTCTCCTCTCCCACGGCCAACGTGTTTCATTCACCTCGGATAAATAACACTCTACCCGAGTGCAAGAGGAACCTTCGGGCCTTCGGGCCAGGCTTCAAAGTGTTTTATTCACGGACTTCGTTTCCCAATGTCTGCTGTGCCGCATAGGTCCCAGCGAGTACGCGGCAATGTCCCTGTGCTGCATTTCCAAGGCTCTGCCGTCTGTTGGGAGCCGGGGCAGATCGTTGCTGGGAAGTGGCTGCTGTTTGTACCGTTTCTTGCAGCGGAGTTCTTGGTGAAAGGTCTACGTTTTAGACGTTAAATCTAGACGTTCCCGGCAGGTGGCGATCCGGATTGTGGAAATCAGCACGTGCGTTCAATCTGCACAAAATCACACGAACAAGCAACACAAAAAGCAAGGCTATGAAGTGATCTGTGCGCAGAGCAGCACGACTGCCCTGCCCATGTCCATTCGCCATCCTGAGCCAGCGGTAGAAACTTCACATGGCAGGGATTTGGGGAGGAGGGGGTGGTGGGGGGGCAGTCGTTTCATACGCCAAGCAAGCATCGTGGTTTGAAAATGCTCATTAAAGCGTAAGCCTGAAGACTTTCTTTAGGATCCTGCTTGAGAATTCAGAGAGCATTGGTAAAGGTGCAGCCCTGCATTTGCTTGCTCATGGAACTCTGAGCAGAAGGGCCTCCCCACTCGTGGGAGCCCTGGAGAGCTCCTCCAGAAGAATGTATTTGGCCTACTCTTCCACACTGGCCAGAGGTGCTGGAAAAAGTGCGGGTACCCATACTTTACCCCACCCACACACGACCTGCCAATCGACTAACCGAGGCGTACAAATCAACAAGTTGTGAAATAAGCATATGCATGAGTTATAACAATTATAATCATAATTGATTTACACTTATAATGTGACGCTTTCCAGCAAGCCATCGTCGTCGTACTGAAGCTGAGCTGTCACGTCAAAAACCTTTGCATATTTGCAAATATTGTACTCCTTCTCTGGTTTGTTTCTCCAAGTTTTGGGTATTGCTTTGATTAATACCTCTATGCCTCAACTTGATACGAATGTTTAGTTCATAGTTGCATCAACGTTACGGGAGCTATCGTCGCATACCTGTCAACCCCTTATCAGTGCCCTACCTTATTACAGACCAATTCAGACCTTATTGGTCACCCCGTGCCCCTTATATATCTCAAAGTTCATCCAACAAATTCCCATCGCAAGGGAGAAACACAAACAAATAGACAAAAACATGTTTTTGCCCGTATTGAAACGGCTGTACACCGTATGGACATGGAAACTCAATTTTCCCTGGACAAGAATACGGGTAAACCGTCTGGGTTGACGAGTGCGTCCGTCACCCCTCATCATTTTCGATGGACGGAGGAAATGCGTAAACTCTTTCAACCTTGGGCGAGTAGAAAAAATACGGGTGAAACAAAGGCTCCTGGCAGAGTAACGTGGAATTCCCATCACCAGAGGTCCTGCCCAGCTCGGCCCTGGACGCAAGCACGAGCGCAAGCCGGGACGCGAGGGACGAGAGGGACGAGAGATGCACAGCTGTCGTGGCCGGGCGCCACCCGGGCACGTGGCAATTGGCTTGCCGACAGTTTCCACAGCCGGGCTTTTGGGGTTGACTCTCAAGGCAACGGCAGGGGGCTCTCCCTCGCCTGGGAACCGTCCAGGGAGGCCGCGCGTTCACCGGCGGGTGCGGACTGCTCGCTTCACAGCGTCGAAAGCATGCCCCAAACCAGCATTTGCCCTGGGGTGAACGCTAGCATGACACACGTTTAGATTCGGTGGCGATAAATTACCTGGGAAGGATTTTGAAGGGTGGCGTTATGCACGCTGCTCATGCGCATTTCGCGAGCTGCACCTGTGGCCACCGCACAGAAACCCCTCCACCGAGGTGCACGCCTATCCGTTTTGAAACGGGGCTTGCGTTCCTTGCCAAGTTATTTTAAATGGAAGAGCAAATGAAGCAGCACTGGAGGAAAACAAGACACCTCTTTTGGGAGTCAGGGGGGTATGATTTTTTTTGTAATTTCAACCTCGCTTGTGTCGATTGCACGTTCGTAAGCATTCAACTTGAATCAGAAGGTTCGTCGAGGCGTAGTTTTCCAGATAAACAAGCTCACGCAGAGAATAACCACATAGTATGTCGATGAGTGTATTTTATTTATAAAGTTCAAGAAGTCGGTCTAATAATACATTATCTGCACTTTGGGAACACTGTGGGTAGGCTATATATGTGTGTGTGTGTGTGCGGTAATGGGAGCGGTAGTGTCGCGGTGATTGCGCTGTGCTACAAATCCGGTGACCCGAGTTAGATTCCTGCTCACAGCCAACACCGGTCACGATTATCTGAACCGGTCCTAGGCCTCCCCTAGGTCGACTCGGCATCAAATGAGTACCTCGTGTGGTGCGTAAACATCGCTACTCGGTCGACAAAGACGGCCGGATGTGGTGCTGGTCACTAACCCCCTCGTGTGCCGTGCCGGTCTTCATAGATGCTCACTAACAGTACTCGCCCCAACAGTCTGTTAAGGCTATACGGGGGGTCTTCGTTTTTTGCATTTATGTATGTATCCGAATCGATTTGAAACATTATCAAGGGGAGTGCTGGTGCAGTGATTTACACACAACACTCCAATCCCTATGCCCCAGGTTCGATCTCTGGATACGCATACTGTGTATCTGAAACGAAGCTGGGCTGGGCTTCCACTAGGTCACCTCAGATTAAAAAGAGTACGTGGTGCGTCAACAACATTGATGAACGAGGGGAGACACAAAGACGGCCGGGCGTGCCGAATACTGGCCCATGGCACTCTTTTTGTGTGTGGCATGCCGGCTTAAAAATTGGGTGCTCCACCAACAACGGTTGAATAGACAATCTTTGAGGTCAAAATGGGGCTCCTTTCTCCGTCTCTTTGTTGGATTTGCGTTTTTGAGAATTGGTCGGTAATGTGGTTCAGCGTGCCGTGTTGAGCGTCGGGACCCACTGACGCAAGCGAATAACCCAACTCATTGGGCTACTGCGGTCCAAACGAGCAACTCGGCAAGGTTCATCGACATAAATCGGGGGCAAAAAAAAGGCGGTCTATGAGGAGGCAAAAGATCATTGTGTGCGGTGGTGTCCCCCCCCCTCCCTCCTCCCACCGGGTCTTGGCGTGCGTCACTTGGTGTTAATACGTGCTCGCTAACACAGAGGATTTCTAGTGGTTCAATGGGGGCTACACAGTAATGGTTTGCTCTGTGTGTGTACGTGTGCGTGCGTGTGCGTGGGGGGGCGGGAAGCCGCAGTGGAACGGTCAGCGCGTCGCGCTACAAATCCGGCTGGTCGAGTTCGATTCCCGCTCACGGCGGACACCAGTGACGATCATCTGAATCGGTGCTGGGCCTCCCCTAGGTCGAATCAGCCTCAAATGAGAACCTGGTGCAATGTGTAAAGATCACCACTGGGGAGACAAAGGCAGCCGGGCGTGGTGCTGACCTCTCCACCCCCTCGTGTGCTGTGCTGGCCATCATAGGTGCTCGCTAACAGCACTTTCCCCAACAGTCTCTTAAAAGCTATACGGGGGGGGATCTTTGTCTTTGCTTTGTGGTAGATATTTACGTGGCAAAATACAGCCCAGACGTTACGAGCTCACAGAGTTCCTTTTATTATCTTTCAACTCCCGTTAGAGGTGTGTCTACTGCGTTATGGAAATCTGCGTGCTCAAGATATCACAATCAACAAAGAGATAAAGATCCCCTGTGTGGCCTTTCAGCCGGAATGTTGGGGGCAAGTGCCGTCCCAGAGAACCCACGGCGGCCGGCGCGGCACGCAAAGGGGGCGGGGGGATGGCTCACACGTGAGCGGCCGGCATCTCTCTCTCCCCCGTGCCGATGGTTAACACGCTGTGGCCTTAACAGGGGAGGGGGGGGGAACGAAAAAAATCAGAAAAATGTCTAACAAAAGCTGACATTTTGGACAATGGCCCTTCTTCCAGGTCACAGCGTCATTGACCAAAGAGTTTATTTTATACAATCGATTGACGAATACATCTAAGCCCACAGTTTTATGCCGAGACATTTTTCGAAATAACGATTTACAATTTTCACTTATATTTAAGCCAACACATTGGTCAAAGAAGACCTACTGGCGATACAAATTTTAATAGGACACTTTCAAGGGTAGTTAAGCTTGCTGGCTGACTTAAAATTAACATCGATACCTTGGATAACCACAACTGCACTACAGATACAGTGAATGAACAACGCCTTATACTGTACAAAGCTCTATTGTTTCTTGGTGTTAAGTTATGCCTTGCCATTCCGAAGCAAGCTCACTACCTACTAACCCTTTGTATTCACGTGATTCTAAGTACGGTACTGGGTGCAGTAAGCCAGTGGTTCTTCTTCTTAACCTGGGGTGGACGCTGCACCCCCTGGGGGTGCGAGATGCCCTCTCCGGGAGTACAATTACTTTCTATTCATCAAATCGACGTATTTATTAACATTATAGATGTTCATATTCTTAGTTTTTTTCGGTAAAGTCACGTTGAAGGGAAACAACAAAATAATAAAATATATATAAAACAATAAAAAAATTCTCACGACGTTTCGACCATAACTCAAACGGTCGTCTTCAGGTGTGTTGGTTTGCATAAATTTATTTTTAAACGGCGCATTTATTTATTTATAAAACGTTAGCGCCACGCGCAACGATTTGGCAGTTTATTTAGGACTAGTCCATCTATATTCTGAAAAGAGGAGGGGGGAGACGAAATTTTTTATAATGTATGCTGTCTGAAAGCCACTGTAAGCGTGAACAATCAATTAAGACCTGAAATGGTTTATCAAATCTTTCCAATGATTGCTAAGATAGAATCCATCTTCTCGGTTGAAATTGTCTCTGTGCTTGTATATGTGGATAGCCTCATGAACGAATCTCTCATGGAAGCCAGATGGCTTACAAAGAACCTCTGTCTTGGAAAAGTCAATGGCATGTGAGCCTACTGAATTAGAACAATGATCTGCAACGGCCGAGGTGTTGGTCCTACCGTGTTTAAGATCTGCTTTGTGTTCACGAATGCGGTCCGAGACATGGCGTTTGGTTTCTCCAATGTAACTACTACCACAGAGGCAACTTAGTTTGTAGACACCAGGGTATTGTATGTCCGGAATCACATCTTTTACAGACGGAACCAGATCACGGATTTTATGTAATGTGTTGAAACGGACCTGGATCTTGTGTTTATTCAAGATTTTGGAGATTTTTTTTGTGATCCCCGCAATGTAGGGTAAAGTGATGGTTTTGAAAGGCTCCTCAAGAGGGTTCTTCTTCATGGTTTGAGTGATAGCTTTGCGGATTGTATAGTCGGA